AAGGACAACACCTTCTGCTCCCTGGGGTACACACTGCCGCTGGGGAGGAAGGACGACACCTTTGGCTCCCTGGGACTCCTTTTTGGCCAAATCTACTAGAGATTGCAGGTATTCTCCTACTAGTTTCCTGGTGAGCTGCACGGCTCTCTCTGGGGGTTGGGTCCAAAGGTAGACAGCACCTCATTAACCTCTCTGTCAAACTCCTCCTGAGTGTAGTCATACGCCATGCTTGCTCTGCTGAAGTTAGTTCTTTTGTAGATAGGGTCGCTGTACGGGTACTAGCGTTGCCCTCAATTTGTAAATCCACGAGACACTTTGATACTCCGAGGGCTGCTTTACCTCGCACTAGGACGCCATCCCACCGCTTGCCACCAATGTAACGGATCACCTGGCACCCGACTGGGTACCTCCGTTGAAGGATGCTCCTAGCGCTTCCTGAGGACTCCAAGCACTCTGGCAGACACCACAATCACCGAACCGTAGGAGCATGTGAATGCTCTCAAGCATTTGAATGCTGTGAACGGTTGAGATAGGAACCATACTGAGATAGGTTTACTCTCCTAGCAGATCAAACTGGAACAGCATACAATAAATCCTTCCCCAATAATGAGACGACACTTCACTTTGAGGGTTAAGCAGGAACTGCCTGTACTGGCACATACAGCCTCTTTTATTCCCAATCCACAAACTTAGTACTGCCCACAGGGTTTTACAAACAACCAATAACACACGTACAATACAGACAGACACTCCCACACAAAATCCTCCCCTCTGGCTGTGATATGATTACTGAACACAATGGGTAATCTAATTATCACAGCCAGAGAAATACAGTTTCATAAAACACATCACAGGGACCCCAAAACATGCAATAACCCCATAAAAAGTTTATCCTTGGAACTGGGGGATCTGGGTGAACCACATATCCAAAATTCACCCAGATCCGTTCAGTACTTTGGAAAATACAGTTTAATGCAGATTCTGCAGGCTAAATAAAAAACAATCACTGTATAATGTGTCCCCTGCTGTATAGTCCAAAACCACCGCACGATGTCTCTGTGCAACACATACTGGCGAGATGGCACTGTGTTGAAAAGTCCACACAGTGTCTGTGAGTTAAAATGGCCGCCATCCATTGTTCTCACCATGTGCTTCTGATACAGGAAGTGGTGGCCACCCAGTAACTCCACAGTATGTCCCCAGATGGTTCTTAAAAGGGCTAGCAGCAGCACAACACAAATCCATTATGCCCAAATCATGTCTTTAAAGGGCAATACATCCCAGGGGCCATAGTCACATGGTAGGAGGCTGGCAACCAGGCTTCTCCAGTGCATAGTGGCGAGGTTGGTTCCGCCACAAAAATAATTAGCTTACACTGATTTACATCTAGAGTTGGTAGAATCAAGTCCTCTAGCTTAGTGGGCCTGATGGCTTCTGCCATATGGTTATCTTAGACTAGTTGGTTAGCCTAGTAGAAAATTAATATAGTCTAGCTCTTAGGTCCTTTTGAATTTAACTAGCCTTTTAAATTTAAACTAGCAAAGTCATATTAGTTGATTTGTTAGACATTCGTCTAATAGAGGTGCTGCTGTTGCTGCAGTGATGTTTCTGTACTTGATACTCAGAGTGTAGGTTGTTTGTGAAAAAAATGTCTGGCCTGAGGGCACATTTGACATGCTGAGCTAACTTCTAAAGATGATTTATGAAGCCCTTCATTTAATCTCCAGAAGGTCGTCTGAGCTGGACATCCAGTGTATAATAAGTTAAAAGTCTTCCAATTTCACTCTAAATTTGTATTAAAAATGTAGCCTTGAGTTAGAGAACATTCACTGCATATGACATATCATATTAAGGTTTATTTTGTGAAAAACAAAGCACATAACCACTAGGTAAAAAGTCTAAAGATGCATATGGGTTTGGTTCCTTCACAATTTGGGACACACTTGTCGTGGATCAAATCAAGTGTTTGATAATTTTTGTATATCTGTCCAAATTGTTGAATTAAATGCATGCACGCTCCCAAAGTAATTCACACCAGACACAAGTTTCAGGTTAATGAAAAACTTGAGGAAAGTTTAATCCAGGGGGCTGGTATGCCCCTTATAAAGCAAGAATACATCATATGCATAAGTATAGATAACAGGGAAAATACATCAATAATTGGTTAGGTGTTAAATGGTTCATCTAATGTACATCCTACCGGGTGTGATGTCACTGTCATCATGGATCTCTCCTCCAGATTCCAGCGTCATCTTGTTAATTGAGGTGGTTAGTCAATGGGAGGGGTAACTCCCTAGCGGCCATTTTAAGTAACTTATGAATAATACGGATTATAGTTATGCAGAGTAAATAGGCATTTTACTAAAGTTAATATTCTGTCCACAACACACTCTTTTAGGATTAGGCATGCGACGGAAGCTGGATTTAAAGGAGGATTTGGTTAAAAAGATTGTTAGGTGGGAATCAGTGCGTTTTAGGACCCATGTGAATCAGCGACAACATTCAACAATCCAGGTACATGTCTGACTCTAAAAACCACATTAAACTTCATGCAATAGAGGACAAAATGGTGAAGAAGCCAAACAGGGATTGAAGAAGCAGATAGACAGACATGCTGTCCGTGAAAAAGATCACCTTCCTGTCTCAACTGGTGCCCTCACAGGGCCAATGCCACCACCAACTGAAAAAATTCTAAAAAGGCTAGATTGCGAATGAGTGGGCTGGTCTTCCACTCCTCCGGCCATGGTTCCGTATGCGCAAGAGATGGTACCGCCATAGGCAAGCGCAAATC